CCCCCCCAATTTTCGGTATTGCACCCTCACTGAAAGACCGGAGAATGTGTGTCTTACTGTAAATTACTGTAAGATATTTCTGCGATGCACTGTGAGGCTTGAATCACAAAACAAATGTGAGTTACACAAAAGTTACGGAATGCGAATCGTGCACATAAGTTAAAACATGACTAAACGAGCGAGGTGTGGCGGCCATGACAGTGTACGATCAAGAAGTAGGTTACAAGTCTATGTCTTATGGCTATATGTTTTGGAGTGCCATCAAAGCGCTGGCTTTAACTTGCTGCGAATCTATTCTTTTGAGAAAACGGCTAATCAATATGATGTTGCGCTCGCCTGATGTACATAAATCTGTCACTCAGTGATTTATTGTGTCCTACAAACAAGTGAAAGACGTATCTATGGTGTTTGAGGGTGAAAAAGAGTGAAAAAGACACAACGTTACATTCTGTTTGCCCTTTAAAGAAAAAAATGTATCTTCGCTGTTACCAAACGCACCATAAACGATTGCTTATTACGGGATGGGCCACTCCTAGAAGGCTTCCTAAAAAAACATCATCTGAAGCGCCAACTGATACGTCTGTCGCGCGTTGGGCTCTATGTTTTAGATAGTTTTAGAAACCAAACAAAATAGGTTTCTTCAGCGTCAGTGGTAACAAGTATAATTTAATCGAACGCAAGTTGCTGAGGATGCTTTTTCTATTAGAAAGAGAACCGTCTTTTTATTTTAATCTTTGTTTTATATAAAGTGCACATCTTGTAATCACATGAATAATCTACTTTTGAAATAATGCACGATAAACAACTTACCGTATGCCGACTTAAAATATGAGCACTATCCGTTTCACAATCAAGAACCCCATACGTTCATGAGAACCGAGCAAAACACAATAACATCATCTCAATATCCATTAAGAGTACCTCCCACATTCACTTTTTTCTTCTCAGCTTGCCGCAAACAGAATATAAAAATGAGAAGGCATTCATTAACTCTTCATAACAGCGATTAAAACTTGACACTCATGAAACATTAACAGCTTGACAAGCTAAGAATGTTACAAACCGTGCTAGGAGTGATCTTAAACTCTGTCGTAAGGAACCCAAGACTGTGGGATCATGCCACTAAATATGCACGTTACGAACAGCTAAATTTGAATGAATATACAACGTGATAAAGGAAGTAAAAGTATGTGTGTGGGTTTAACGCCCTTTTCAACACGCTAAGGTTATTTGAGAGGAGGAACTTTCGAATTTAACATGTTCCTCCGTTAGGACCGAGTCTAGTAGGTTGAGAGCCTTGAAAATTCAGAAAAGAACTCGAAGTTTAAAGACGCCCTTTTCCAGATTTTAACCAAGGTCGTCCGCTCCTTTGTCCAGCATGATGACAATTGAGCTACCAGAAAGCCCAACTTAGTAGAGATCTAAACTGTTGCATAAATAGCTGAGGACCTTGCTGATGACTGTTTTCTTTGGAGATCCCCTCTCAAAGATGTACTGGCGCGTGAAACTTACTCGGTTTGCCGTGTTTTTGTTGATCATACAAAAACCCCTTCTTCTTTCAGGACCCTCGAAGCCATTACTTGCTTTAGTATTACCTTATTGAAAATGTATTCTACGAGAATCTGACGACTTACTTGCGGCACACGCTAGGAATGTATTATACCTTGGAGCGTTTTTGTCTTGGCTGTAGGTAAATGCGAAGAAAAAAATTGTTTAATCACGTGTAATCATCTGCTGTAATGCGAACACCGCATGTGACAGACAACGCAAAAAGACAATTCATGGAATCAGTTTAAAAGTCAGTGCACACCGTCATGTAAACCACCCAGCTTTCAATTTTCATAATAAAGAGTCATCTTTAATAAGGAAGAAGACAAACAGACCGTTTTGATTTATTCTACGGAAATTTGACACATTAATTATAATGGTGTATATTTGATTTTGAATCATGCAGTACTTAGCACAATCAAGCAAAACCAATTCACTGATGTTAGTCTGGCTCTCAGCGGAGCAATGCTTTTGTTGTGACTGACGGTCAACCTAGACAAAAGCCTTATCATCACCCATCTGAAATCTATTCTGATTGCTTTTTTCTCCTTTGTTAATTTTCATTCACTGAACACTCGGCCGCTGAGAGTCTAGGCAAGTTTGTCACGTTCACTGAAACAGGTCACTTTTTCGTCACAGGCTCACAGGCTAATCTGCATCGGGCATTACTTCAGGAACACGTTACTTGATGTAAATTTGTCGTGACTGTCTTCAAATGTTACCGCCCCTGGCCACAGGAAAAATTATCTGTTCACCAATCGGAGACTGGTAACCGACTTGGTTACACAACGGGCAGTTAGATAAGATGGTATAAATATAGCGCACTTCGTAACAGTGAAATAGAACAAGGGCTTTAGCTTTAAAAGACCATAGATGTACAACTAAAAAGGCAATTCAATATACTGTCATCATTTCTGTAAACAGGGGAAAGGAACTGCGTTTTTTGAACAAAAGGAATTGCTTGCCCTTTGCCAAAATTTTAAACATATCAGGTAACAAACATGGCTACGTTAGTCGACACCAGCGACATACACTTGTAATTATGAAGAAATGATTCTTGAAAAACCAGAATCACATCTCGACTCTCCCGCTTCCTCTAAAAAAAACCCCATAAATCAATGAAAGGTGCATTGAAGATACTGTTGCCATTGATGAAAAGAGGTGACAAGCAGTGCGTTTTGGAAGAAATAAAAGGCCCGTAGAAATTTATTTACTAAACATGGTAAGAATCCCAAACTTTTTTTTCGCACCCGCGAAAACATTTTGTTATAATGAAAAACGTATCATTGTAGAAAAATCCGGAATTGCACCCTTTCTCTCTCTCTCTCTCTCTCACTCTCTCTCTCTCTCTCTCTCTCTCTCTCTCTCTCTCTCTCTCTCTTTTTGCTTCCCCTTTCCTCCTTCCCTTTTCTG